TTACAAAACACACACTTTAAATCCGGTGGTTCATGCTTCCACTGACTTATACGATCTTGAGTTGGCAATTTCTTCTGACAAGCCATCCACATGCAAAGAGCATGTTTTGGAACGTATGCTTTATTCCAAACTAGTTTATACCAATGCACAACCGGCTTCACCTCTTGGATGGTTTTCCAAGCCAATTTTACCTCAAAATCGACCCGAGAAAGTTTTTTATCAAGCCATTTGACCTTATCCTCCACTTGACTGGGAAACGGAATCAGAACACTCTGCAGCTGAGGATATTGTTGAATCCAATCCACCGGCCAATTAGTACCAAATCGTTGCATTACATCAGATACCATGGAGTTGTTGTGAAATCCCTGGCCATTAATGAAGATTCTATAAGACAGGGATTGAATGAGAGGACCCGACTCGCTCCATGTATCTTCCCAAGCATGCGTAGATAAACCATTTCCCACATTGTAGATAAAGAATCTCCGGCAATGAGATCTTAAGTCTAAAAGGCTTCGAAGAATCCACGACCACTCATTCCTCTTCTAGATAACCCAGAAATTACGTCCCCGAACACAGTGAGACTGAATCCAAGAGACCCACATAGTRTKTCTGCCCTTTAGAATATCCCAAATATGTTTAAATAGAAGACACCTATTCCAAGTCGCAAGTCTTTTAATACCAAGACCCCCCACTTTGAATAGGCAAGTAAACTGTATCCCAAGCAACTCGACATTTACCCATCTGACCCTCTTCTTTATTCCATAAAAAATTACGAAAAAGCTGCTCAATTTCATGGATTGTGGTTGCCGGTACAAGAAATACCGACATCCAATATGTTTGCATTGAGTGAAGCATTGAGAGAATTAGTTGTCGACGCCCTCCATAGGAGAGGAATTTATTCTTCCAGTTTAAAAGTCGAGATTTAAGCTTTAACACAAGGGGATTAAAATCATGTACCTTCAGTCGAACCGGAGAAAGAGGAACTCCCAAGTAACGAATAGGGAAAATCCCTGGCCGAAAAGATAAACTATCACGTATAAAAGTTTGAACCTCCGTTGCTACATTCCCCAAAAACACCTCACTTTTTTTCCAGACTTGGTGACAATCCCGTTCGTTCTTCAAACAATAGAAGGCCACGTTTGATGACTTCCACAGAAATAATATCCCCCTTAGAGAAAATAAACAAATCATCAGCAAAGCATAGATGAGTCAACTTMATATCCGCACAACCTTGATGATATGAAAAATTAGCCTCCTCCTCAATACACTTCGATAGAAGCATTGAGAGACCCTCCATAACAACAGTAAACAGATAAGGGGAGAGAGGATCTCCTTGACGAAGGCCCCGTTTACCATGAAAAAAACCCTCCGACTGTCCATTAACACAAACAG